TCCAGATGCCTTGCATGACAATTACAAGGGAAGATGCTTAGTTTCACAGCAGAGCCTGCCTGGTGGAGATGATGAGCTGAGACTGCTGGCTGGCTGGGGCAGAGGCAGGGAGCTGTAGTGTTTATGCATTGGCCCCGTGCATGACACTGGTAAAATTTCTGTAACTTGGCTATGTAATGGAGAAAGACTTCTGCTTAAAAAAAATACTGGATTTTAGCTGTACTGCCACACTGGAGAGAGGAACTCAGCTAATAAGATTTTAAAAATGTAGTCAGGAAAACCAATATTGCCAAAGCCAAAAGTCACCAAAAATCTGAAATTTGACAGATGGTGCATTTCAGATGTCTTCCCCCAGCCCATCCTTTCTGGCTGTCCCCCATGTGCCTAGCAAGGAAACAGACACTCCTAAAATCTTCAAAAGTGTGGTAATAAGAGTAGAATTTACTTAATGTAGGGTCACACAATCAAACAGCACCTTTAGTTATGGTAAGAGTAAGAGATGGTAGTCTGAAAACACATAAGAACTTGAGGAAAATGTAATGATTATGCTTTTTAGTTAATGCTTCTGAAAGACAAGTGTCAGTAGAAATTTCCCTACAGGCTGTACTACAGCTCAAGCTGGTGCACATGGAGTATGCATCAATTTCCTTGCTGTGGATTACCTGCTAGCTGTACACGGACAAATAGTGGAAATCACAATCAGATATTTTCTTAAATGTCATTCTTCATAGCTTTTTCACAGCATCTTAAACCAGGAAAGAGAAATTGGCTTCATATAAAACTGCAGAAAGCATTCAGCATTGCTAATGGTGTATGAATATGTAAACTGTACACTAGTTAAAACCTATTGTAATTATTATTTGATACATTAAGTAACATATATAAGGATGTTTTCTTTTACTTAAGTTGATCAATAAATAGAACTATTCATTGCTTTAAATTGTAGATAGTTTGTCACCTACCCTTTCTCTGATTCTTGCAGCCAGAGCTTTTCTTCTAATCAGAATAGGTAGCTGTTATCATTTATACAAGAAAAAGGTATTTGACAGATGTCACTGGTGTGCGGGGCAAGTGAAGTATCTTACCACATTATTACCCTGAGAGGCAGCCTTACTGCTCACACTTAGTTGAGAAGTTAAGTAGGTTCTCACTATAGCTGCATTTTTGTCTGTATGATACTTGGATTGGATTGCTTTAGAAGTGTAGTTTTGGGAACATTTCAGAGCTTAAAATACACAGCTAGCTATAGCCCAGAGCAGTTTAACTTACAGTAGTCAGGTGTATGCAGTGTTCTCGCAAACCAGTGATGTAAATGTGCCTTTCTGTATCTTTAGAAACTTAAATTTGTAATCTTCAGCAACATTCACTTATTTAAGCAGCTTCTTACTTCTCCATTTAATTTTTTGGGTCAGAGGTATGTTCTCACTTCAGTATTTCCTTTCAGTGACATTTGCTGTGTAACATCTGTATCTATCCAGCATGGTCCATTAGAGACACGGCCATGGGAACACAATGCAATCACATCAGGCTTGTTCTTGCAGCAGGTGGTGGTAAGGACTCGGCCATAGGCTTTGCTGGAACAAGTACATTGTAAATCCTCTCCTAATTTAACTTTCTCCCACTGCAAACCCAGATGGACAGTATGAACAGTTTGTTGTGGCAACACAAATATTTCTCTTCCTGGTGGAGAACTTTGCTTATCCACTGTATTCTATTCAGTGTGGTGTCAAAAAAAAGTAACTGAGCACTGAACCAGTAACATATACTGCACCTGGCCTAGTATTACATTTTTAACCTTACTTGTATATTTTATATTTATCTACTAGCTT